GGTGTTTGAGATCACCTTGGTCTGATTGTCAAGCGATACTGGTTTACATGTCAGAGTGGTGTCAGAGTACTCATATCAAACAGAAATATGGGTCACTTTACACGTTATGGTTGCTTTCTTATTACTCATAATGGCGCCAACTGAAGAGAATAGGACTGATGAAGGCATATCTGATATTTATTAGGACAAAATGCAATGAACATTAAGGAAATCATAAGCCTTACATTGATTTCACAATCTGCGATTATTATTATCTTCTCTTTATTCTATATTGAGCATTTTTTGTTTAATGGGGCGGGGGCCCTACAGCATCTTTTAACCGACAAAACCTGGTTAATACACATTTTGCTGATACTTCGTCTGCAGTTGTTTTATCTCTCCTGATGACTACTATTCATGTGGAGCCCATTAAACCAAAATAATTTAGTTTATCTAATACCTTGCAATGATTGTGAGGTTAAAATACATTCCTGACATCAATTAGATTACCGAAGTTCAAAAACCTAGCAAAATTTTGATTAGTTGACCTATAATAAAATAAGAAATCTAGAACCTAGATTTGAGTCACAGCACTACATGCAATTACACACAAATATACAAACAGGATATGACAAGATGTCAGCCTCAAAATCTAATTTAATGGAGTAGAGGGGGAGATGGATAACTGGAGCTTTATTTATCGAATCAATTATGAGAGTATGAAATGACTCAACACCTGACTCAGACGTATGAAAAAAAATTCTACTACCCCTACGACTAATGGGAGAGAATAAAGCGAACACTACAAAACTGAAGTTCCGAAGTTGTGTAGTTGTGTTATGTCATGAACAATAAATTATTTTCTAAACGTTATCCAGTAAATAATACTATTTCACTATGCGATGATATATTTAATAAATAAATTAGTGTGGAATGATATAACTGCCACAGTGCCCAAGTTTTGCACACAGTATTTCTTATCTTCTTCTTGCCTTCCTCTTCCAATCGTTTTTCTATTGACATCTATATGACAGACTACTTATTTATTTTTTAGTAATATATACTACAGTGCCGTCCAAAATGTCAGTCCAATCACTTATTGTAATCCAAAATATTCTATTCAGACATTTAGAAGACAAAATAAAATTTGAGCAAAGAATATTCTTTTCGATAATTTCATCTTCCAGCTCTACAATTATGTATGTAGAATATTGTGGAACAATTCTTATCACCAATATTGGCGTCTTTTAAGTACTATCGATTTGTTAGGATCAGTGGAATTACAGTTCAAGAAAGATGCATAAGTTATAATAAGCATACAAATGTAATAGTTAACAGAATATCAAATATATCAAGGAAATCTCTACAACAAATTAAGGATCATTGAAACCTTGATGACCGCGGTGTGTGTGTGTGTGTGTAAGGAAAGCGTCTGAAGCAATTTCTTTTGGATGCATAGATTAGGCTTCTTAATGTAGATTCGAACAGCTTAATCAATATGTGACAGGTGAACTCTTGAGGTAAAATTAAGATTAGTTGGTATACGGTAGATGACTTTGAAAGTCACCTTTTGTTTTCATCAATTTTGTGTTGTGTATCTACGAGATGAGAAATATGAATGGACTTTGTTTGTTTCTTACTTAACCACACGGGATGGAGTTCAAAAATGTGACGACGGTGGCACAGTGGTTAGGACTCTCGCCGACCATGCACGTGATCTGGGGTTCGGTCCCCAGCCGACGCACACTTGATATCAATGATCGGCCTGCAAAATTTGGGCTACCGATATCGCATGCTGAAAATTCCATACTTGTACCAAAATTACGGTGTGGAATCAAGCTGTAATAAAAAAAAAGACAAACATGCCTGATTGTACGCCCTTTCCTACTTAACTGGCTCCACGTGGGAGCAGTGAAATTGATAGATGCATATAGAGGAGGTGAAACTAGTTTCTTAATGTCGATAAAAAGTTTGTGGAATAGATCAAATAAAGTATAATTATATTTCAGTGGTTTACACACAACGATCAGTTTTGTTATTGGTAATATTTCGAGCAAAATTACTGCCCGTGTTTACACCACTGTTGGAATTGTTTTGTTCACATATTTATGATTTGTACTCATATATATAGTTCATTATTTTTGTTTATTCATGTTTTTGTATTCAGAATTATATTCCAGGTTGTTCATAGTTGTACTGAATCACCCTTGTTACATGTATGCGGTGTGACCTTAATGAATATAGATTCTGTTATAAGTCTCTCTTTCCATTTGTTCATATTAGTTTCTAGAATACAAACATTGTTCCAATCGGTATTGTGGTTTTTGTCCCATGCAACCTGGAATATAATTCTGAATTCACAAAAATGATTGATTGAACAAAAAATGAACCATATGTATGAGTACAAATCATAAATGTATGAACAAAACAATTCCAACAGTGGTGTGAACACGGGCAGTAATTTTGCTCGAAATATTACCAATAACAAAACTGATCGTTGTGTGTAAACCATTGAAATATAATTATACTTTGTTTAAGTAGTTTCCGTTTAACTCCTGAATGCAAAATAGGAATGGTTTTGAAGACACTAAATAATTTGGCGTCACTGAGTGTCCTTCGTTTTACCTCATTCCTTAGACGTTGTGTTATGCTTTCAATGGGGTTGTCACCGAGTGAGTGAAGTTGTAATAAGAAGGCGTTTTTTCCGGAACTGTTGATACTTTGGCTTGCCTTGATTCTAGATTCATATTCTTGTCGATGGATTTCTTTGGGTGACCATTTTCACTCAGTAACTGTTTAAAAGTATGGAGCTCTTCATCAAGATATTCATCAGTGCAGATTGCTCTTGTTGTGTGTATGCAGCACTTTATCGAAAGGAAATATTCTTTGTTTAAATTTTCTTTTATCTTTAAAAAAAATTCGGTTTTTCCAAAAAAAAATCTGCTGAAACTTTACGTTTAACTGTGTAATTTACAATATACTAGAAGTTTTTGATCTGACATTAGGTAGTAATTAATGTTCTGCGTGTAGTATTTCGAATGGTACAGACTAAGTTCTGCAGCCATTGTGGTGAACTCTGAATTGATGTTGGATGCAAAGCATTAGTAAGTACGTCATTTTCAATGAAAGTATGCATTACATTCCTACAGAATATCAATCATTCTTGAACTCCTGAATATCTCATTGATAATATCTCTCACTGCAGCACTGACTTCAAATCTCAAAGGAAACATGAGTTCCTTCTTTAAGATTGCACATCCACTTTGCTGACTGGTGAGTGTCAACAAGCACCAAAACCTAGGTCCAAGATTTCCTGACAATTGCCTCCAACCGGGCTAACATGATAAATCTTTTCTCAAGAATTTGGATCATAGACTATCTGATAAGGGTGATTATATTGACGGACTGCTGTCGAATGAAATAGCTGATAAATGAAAGTGATATGAAAACGAATGTCTCAACAAGATTAGAACTATTATTTCACTATTGAAACAACACTCTTTTCTCTGTACTGTTTTTTCACAGTTCCTTTAGTCGTATATAAACACTGAATAAAAGGTTAAACAAGTAGATGAATAGACTTTCGATAGAGATGTACCTTTTTTTTTTCAAAAAAAAAAATACAAGCCCTTCAATTATTTACTGGTTGCTTAGTAACATGTGCAAACTGAGTTGAAAATTATTTAAAAGGTGACATAATAGTTAAGACTGCAAGCTACATTTTTAAAAAAATGTTTGGACTGAGTTATGTAGTAGCGAATTTTGATGCACTAGGAGGCTTTGAGGGCAAGTGATACTACTCGGTCGCTGTTTTAGGTTGAAGTGAGTGATATGGGACTCGTACCTGGGACCAGCCATCAGCAGTAAACCGAGTGTGTCATTCAATGTAAAACTGTTGGAATATCAGTCTGCAATATATGTGTTACATATTTCGCATTCAGTGTATATCAGATGGTTGGACGTAATTGACAGGAAAATATGGATCTTGGTTGTGTACTTATCGCACTCGTCAACAAGGCGTAGACACAATCTTAAAGGGTGTGAAGTTACAGTGAGGAATTTAACGATTTTATTACCCACAATTGACCTCCTCTAGGGAGTGGTTCAGTAGCAGAATGCTTCCCAGACACGTATGTCACCGGGGTTTGATTCCCGACCGATACATGCCTAAACCTCACCTAAGCGATTTCACCCCGTAAAAACAACATCACAGACACTGAAACATCAAGGCCCGAAACTTGAAGCACTATCTTCCATTCGGAGATCATGGAATAAGAGGAGGGAGTGACTAATGTCACCCATCTAATCCTTATTGTCACTGCTGAGTGAAATCTATCAGTCATTCTATTGGACAACTAACTACATCAAGAGATTTTGAATCAGTAGAAATAATTTATTGAATCTATTGTAGAGAATTTATACATGAAAGATGTATTTCCTCCTTGTAATCCTACATATCAATTAACAATCCATAATCTTCCATTTTCATTATTCATTGTCCCTCTTATTTTCGTTTATTTCAGTTACATTGTATTTAGTTTCTCTACTTTTATGTGTGCTTTCATACGAAATATGGCTGCACTATAGTACTAACACCCAAATTAATTGCCTCTAAATGTTTTGAATGGCAGTGTGCTCGCCTCGTAATCTAGAGTTTATGAGTTCGAACACCGTCAGGGTGATAGATGCATACTTCTAAATAGTCTTGATTTAGTCTGAAACAGCGGTTCAAGTTACCCCTGTTGCTTACTTTAGCTGGTTGTTCAACTTGAAATATACTTCATTTCATTCTCTTCGCATACGTTTCACTATCACCGTAGAACATCTAGTCAGCCAAATGATCAAAACACCGGCTGAGAATAATACTAATTCCTGTTTAATTGTTTGTTTTTCCAGTCACTTATGATGCGATTGTCGATGAGTTGGGTGTGTGTGTGTGTTTTTACTTATTTCACATCTCGACTACTACATACATCATTTTTTATTATTTCAATCCTCATTTTCTCCAAAATGCATTTTAGCTGGACACATACGCGTTGGCTCCATCCAGATTCGTCTATCCTACGTAGTTTTCTGCTTAGTCAATTAATATTGGTCTGGCAATTGACTGAACTGAATTCATTCTTTTTAAAGCATATATTCATTGTTAAGCCTAGTCATGTCTTGACACAGTTACGTCTACTTTTGATTACATTCATGTCAGCACCAGCTATAAGGTAAGCGACTGTTTTTTTCGTTGTATACGCATGTGTGTTTGCGTGTGCGTGTGTTGAAGCTGGGTTGATTTGTCGGGGTTTGATTGCTTTCGGGTTAGATTTATTTCATCAGTGACTGAGGATAGTTGAATGGCAACATGGTCATCTCTTAAGCTGAAGATTTCGGATCTTGTCCCCTGTGAAGTCATGGGTAGGTTTAATACTGAAGAGTGTCTTACTGGGACTAATGTTGGTTCATGATTGAATCTTACTGAAAATAGCTAATTTGTGTTTTTTCTCTCCATATTTTATCTGATCGATAGGTAATTAGCGTAATGAAGTAATGTAATTCGGATTGAAGTGAGCTCATCGATTGTGATAGGCTTCATGTTAGTAATCTGTTGATTATTAGCGTTTTGTTTGTTTTTCTGAACGAGCTTCAAAACATACCTGTCGGCTAGTTTCATTTCAGTCTTCGAAAGTTTGGATTAGACGTCATATTATTTAAATTGTATTTTGTAAGACTCGTTATACTGTTGAGATAGCTGACCTATATTACGTGTGTTGGGACTCGAAATGAGGACTGACTGATTGAAACTCAAGTGTATTTATGCTAATAAGCCACATCTCTACGCACATTATCATTACAGGGTGAGGTTGCTAGCCCCGCGCGAAACCTTTCCTTTTCACTAGCCTTACTACTAAATTAGCAATGTTTATGAGTGCGTCGGCCGGGGATTGAACCGCGGACCACATGTGTGGTTGGCGAGTGTCCTACTGCTTGACTGCCATCGGCGCCTTATACAACAGCGAAGGTCCAAGTTAATCCTAAAAGGTTTGGATGCGTTGAAAAAGAAGTTACGTAATAAAGACAAGGGATAGATAAATTTGTTGACAAATAACTGGCGATTCGCGTAAATAATGTGGTGAGTCCAACACAAATGACTCAATCAAATAAAAAAGAAGAGTTCAGAAATCGAGTTGCAAAGGCAACGGAAGACTACTTCTCACTGAATATCTGATTCGGATTTTAAAAGTTTCCTAGCCATTGTTTCGGAAAACTCATGAAGAATTAAATTATATTGTCAAATTGTTATCCTTAAAGAATTTCAAGATGTCCGCTTGATGACACGTGTATCAACGAGATGCCTAGTACTGCTGAAAGAAACATTAGAAAACAATGATATCATCTTATCGCGCTCAAATCGTTAGATGTTTTCACTTTATTTATAGTCTTATTTCATTATGTAATATAAAACAGAGTAAAGGTTAAATATTTTGGTTACACTGGAATCTTTGGTCTGATGTCCTGTTATTACTACTAATTACCATCTACCTCTTATTCACACACTTGAAATTTCCGGTAAAGTAAGGATTGTAAGGCAATAATCACTAGGTGGTTGACAATTCAAGTTCTTATGCGTTATTTTATTTGATAACATCCAGGAGTGGAATTCATACAGCAAGTGAGTTTTGTTCTATCTACTTGGGACTTGCCAGCTGGACGAACTTGCATCCCCCCTCCCCCAGTCAGTGATGGTGGAATCACTGAGACTCGAACCCAGTACCCATCGTTTCAAATGTCATGATGTTATCTACTGAGCTTGTCGGCCACGACAGCTACCTTTATTGTGTAATGGGAATCAGTTGGTATTTGTTTAAGTCTATTAATCTTTGATTGATTATTATGTTGGATCGAAATGTTCAGTATCTGTGTTGGTTGACTGACAAGTCGGTTCCTAGTAGAATCGATAGTTCATCAATAAATATATTGACAGAGATTACGTATTTCAGTCCAGTCATAATTCCACGGAGGATTTGAACCCAAGACATACAGATTTCGAGGAGAGGCTGCTGACGGCCACAGATTGGTTGGTTGACAAAAATATAAATTTTTCAGGTATTGGCGAAGGGGTATGAAAGTAGTTATGGAATTTAAGACCAGCTGGATTTCCATGAATTAACAATAAGTTATTGCATAATCGATAATATGCGAAACAATAATGACTGATTTCAGGATATCATCATGATGTCACTTCATGATGAAATCCTGAACCCAATCAAATCCCTGCAAACCAACACTTGAATATCACTCTGATACGCATTAGTGACTGGTCCTATTCAGGTGTGTAGTTACCTGAATTCTAGTGTGAATTCGTGACCAGCGGGGTACAGCAGGTCGGCTGGTGTGAGGACAAATACTCGCCGATGACATTATCCAGTGGTCGCGCCATATCATGAATTGGCAGAAGTTGGAACTCATGGATTGACCATTAGATCGGGTTCCAGTGGCCTTGTGTAACCAGAAGGTCCTGGATTCTAACGTCAATGGGTGTGAACTTCTGAAGAGTCGCAAACTAAGCTGACGAAACAACTGTACAGTACTCTCTGTAAGTTTTCTGATGGTCCTCCAACCGATGTCAGTTCATGGTGAAGTCCTGAAACGAATCAAATGCCTGGAAACCAACACTTGAATAATCACTAGGAAGAATAAATGATTGAATTACATAGGAATATCGAGATATAAATAAATTAATTGGATTAGGTATTATAAGTAATCGTAAAACATGTCAAGTTTTAGGTGAAATATACTAAAATAACTTTGAAAAGAAATAATAAAAGAGACACTACCGCGAAGGAAATTTTCTTTACCAACAAAATCATTTTTCAGATACTGCACTATCTATCGTATTTATATATTTACCAACAATAGTGCATGACATAATTGATATAATTACTCAGAAGAGGTTTCTAAAATATAAAAAAATTCAAAATTGCTTATTAGTCAATAGCACAATGGAAGAAAGGGTTTGAAATTTGCTAAGGTTACGATTATTGCTGGATGGGAAGAAAGGCAATTGAGTATCTATCTGACAAGTTTGAAGAGCGTGGGGAAAAATACAGTAAGGAACGTGTAGGAGTGGTAATAATGAATTAGTGAGGGGAGTGAATAGTGGGGGGGAGATTAAGACCATGGTAGAATAAAAGACTAGACAAATATTTTCTATACACAGAGTTCGAGGTTATATTGACGAGTCAACAACACCTCAGCCATGCACGAATACTGAAACCTAACACCCGTTGTACTATTCAGTCTCATCTTGTAGACTGTGATAAAACTGCGTTGCCTGACCTCATTATAAGTGCTCGAGACTTGAGCTAGTAAATTGTCCTGCATTGTCGCTTTGCTAACCATACCGAATAATGTTCGGAGATGCGTTTTGTAAGTGTGTGCCTTGTACGGCCAATATAACTAGTTCCACAAGGGCAAGTGAATGTATAAAAACACACCTTGAAGTAGCCGAAAGCAGCAGTTTGTCCTTCACATGCATATCCACTGATCATTTGTTAACTGTAGAAATTGATCCATAGCTCAACCGAAACGAAAGCTTTGATTTTTAGTCTATTTATCTGTGTTAATTATAAAAAAAATTGTGTTTATAAGATTCTTATACTTTTAAATGTTTATTATTATTATTATTATTACTGTTAATTTAATGTAGACAATACTACTTATACGTTATTGATCCACATATCAAACGTGTTGGCTCTCAACTTTGGTTATTTATGTAAGTTATCGAGCGTATATTTTACATCTATGTACATATTGTGCATTCATTGATTTACTCTCTCTGTGTGTGTATGTGTTCAACCAGTTTCTGACATTCCCTGTCTCTCTCTTTCTCATGCTTTTCTGATGTATATATTAGTGATGCTAGGGGTCATTCATCTGGATAGATAACTTCAAGTTTGCTCACTCATTTCATCGGTTGACTTCTTTCCTTTACCTAACACACGTTACGCTTAACGTCACTATTTCTCACCATAGATAATCATCAGCTAACATGAGAAACTGAACACGGGCAATTATGATCAAGGACAGTTAACCACTACAATGACTACATCTCACAGCCGTTCAGTGAATTGTTGTACATGTTCAATATATATTCGTTGGTGAATAGCCGGAGAATATCACACTGCCACTAAAGATGATGCAATTCGATAAAAGCCATGCGTACTAGGATTTCGTCAACAATGCGTCCAAAAGACCTGGTGTACCTAACGCAGACTGAATATATATATATATATATATATATACATATATGCTTTTGCTGTTTCGATTGATTTCATCTCGATTCGACATCATCTAAAGAGTCGTTAGGAACCAATGAGAGTCAAGTTGGAATACATGAATCATTGAATTCCAATCCGATGACTGATAAGTCAGTGGGTTCGCCTTGTAATCTGGAAGTTCTGGAGTTGGTCTGTAGTGTGGTCATCGGTGTGGACTGATGAAGAGTCCTGAATTGGGACTAAACAGCTATCCAATACTCCTTGGTTTTCAGTGATTCTCTAAATGAATTCTGTCGGTTTTTGATGAAATATGCCTTGAAAAACATGCTTAGCTTGATAAAGGTGAGAAGAATAGACACGTTTTAGACTAGGGAGAGAGAGAATTGATCATATCTTTACACTCCGACCGACTCTGGCATATTGGCACATTTACTAGCGTCCAACCATTGTCACATTTCTCGTCCTTAAGGCGGAATTCAACTCCATTGACCGAGAGGTATTATGGCAATGTTTGGCGGTGAAGAAAGGGTCGAGGAAGTGCATCTCACTTAAAAAGGCAGTCTGCTGGAAGCCATGCAACCGTGTAAAGGTTTACGGAGAGTTTTCATCTGAAGTGGTGACAGTCAGTGGTGTCCGCCAGGGATGCCTACTATCACCATTTCTCATCAATTCCATCACAAATGTACTAATGGAATTAACCCTAACTGGCTTCAGCGACTCAGGGATTGACTTGTTACCGTCACAGAGTAGTCTTGTCGACTTGGAATATGCAAATGATATAGTCCTCCTAGATGAAGGCGGCGATAAAATGCAGAGTCTTCTGAACACCTTGACGAGCTGTAGTCGTGGAATATTTGTCATGCGATTCGCTCCTGATGTCAAATATTAGATGATGAAGCTACAGAACTGGACTGGATTGCACTGACTCACTACTAGCTTAAAGACAGGCTGGAGTAAGGTAGTGGAGTGCGTTGACCATTTCATTTACTTGAGCCTCAATGGACTGATTGCTGACGAAATCCTAGCAGGGATACAGAAGGCTGGTGTGGGATTTACCAAAATACGCCATCTCTGGTGTAGGCGTGATATCTAAGAACCAATGGTTGGAGACATTTGGTAATATAGTAGAAAATAGTTGTCGATGGCTGTCGGAGATTCACTCACTCTTTGTAATGTGCCATATCGAAAAAGACCCTATTATGTACAAAAGGAGATGATCGTCACTCTGAATCTACCATGGTAATACGTTTTACTTATTAACTATTATTATTAATATTAACAACACTTTATTCCACATCTTATTATTATTCTTGATTCATTTAAAACTGTCTTTTATCAGTAGCATTATCTTAACTCACTTCAGCATTATTATCATTGTTACCATTAATGTAACTATTACTATCGATATTACTCTGTTTGCAATTCTTGATATGTTCTCAAATGACTAATTGTTTATCTAAGTGATGTAATTGAAGCTTAATGCAATTTATCTTAATTTTAATCTCTCATATTCCCTCTCCTCTTATCTATTTGAACATGACCTGGAAAACATTCGCACCTGTCTTTCTGCATAATTAATCCAATGTAGTTTATTTGCTAATCAGTCTTATATCTCCCAATGTAATTTCAAAAGTATATATATATCCGTGTATGTAGAGTATTCAGCTGACGAGTTCTACCGAAATTTGATGAATTCATTAAGTCATCCTGCTTTATTAACCTTTATTGCTTGTCTTGAAAAATAATCTGATGCTCGCTAGTGACTTGCTACAGGACGGAGTTTCCTGGAGTTCTAGTGAGAAGTCGTGACCAGTGAGGTCCATCCAGTAGGGAGTGAGAATAGATTTCCCACCAACGAAATTGGTTGGTGGTGGCGTTAAAATCAAGAATTGGTAGAAGTTAGAATTGATGGGCTGGCCATTGAATCGAGTTCCAGTGGCTGAATGGTGGGTGTATGAGCTTGTTTTGTAACCGGAAGGTCCTGGGTTCGAAACCCAGTGGGTGAGTAATGTCGATGAATGCCAAACTAGGGCGAAACAGCTATCCAGTACTCCATAGTTTTCAATAGTTCTCTAACTGATGTTAATCGGTGACAAGACTCGAAAAAGAAATCAACTTTCGACAATTATAAACATCTAGATTTGATAACACAAGGAAATTTCGTAAAAATAAACAAATAAATAAATTTAAACCATATAGGATTGCATAATAAGATTTAACGCATCTGATCTAAACTTATAAGATAGGTAGTTTGAACACTCCCCATCAAGATAAGATATGCACATGTCAGATAAAACAATAACAGTGTAAAGAGATTGTAAATAGAAGAGGGAATGGAAGGATTATTATAAAGCTAGAATAAAAGTATGCTATCATGGTAGATTTATCGTAATAACTGTTCTCTTTTGTTTACGGAGATTCGGCTTCTTTTATTCGATTGCTCTGGCTTTCGCGAAACCGAGGGCTTTACATAGCCTTGCCTATTAACAAAAATGTTGTCCTTCTGGACAAAAGTACTATTATAGTGCTAACTTCAATTTACGGAGTGGAGATTTGTGAATTCCTTGTTGAACCAAGTATTTAAATGTCTTCTTTGTTAATTTCAACTTTATCTTATCGACTATTGCCGGAATGATCCTTTATATTCGCCTATGTTGATCGTTTCATTGACATAAATTTCATCCTTTGGTTAATATAATTTTCTGTTAACACTCTTTCATTTTTTTCTTCTTTCCTCCTTTTGTTTAGGGCAATAGTGTTAACTGAAAGTTTAGTTTGCATAAAACTTGGCAGTGAAATTTTTGAGAAAACTGTTTTATGGAATTTAATCTATTGGTTTATATGGATGGTAAGCATTAAATAGTGTGTTTTGTTACATGTTCATAATCTATGCTGTTTTTTCTCAAATGATGAGTGTTAAGACCTATTTGTAATGTTAACACAAAGGATGTATATGCGGGATGAATCTCAAAAGCATTAGATTTTTCAAGTGGAGTATCATTTCAAGTTAGATCATGGTCTGGCATCAGTTAGAGAGCCATTTAAAACCACGGACAACTGTTTTATTACATTTCTTGACTCTTCAGCAGTACTCAACCGTGATCCTAATGAAGAAAGAATATACTTTTACAAAACAAGCCGACCTTCCACAAAGCCAAAGGTATGCAATTCAATAGGTTGTTAGCAGCGCGATACTAATCCGAGTCTGAGGTGTCAATGTCACTAGTGTCTTTCACGGTCATTTTAAAACATATATATATATATATATATGCAAGCTCTGCCAATCATCTTCACTGTTGATAAGAGACCGTATAAGCTCCTCGCGTCAACAGTCAGTCTTCTCTTACTGTCTTCCTGACTCGCGTTGTCGGTGGTATCATTTCATGTTGTTGTTGCCAATAGTGGTCAGAAGAATAAGCTCGCGAATCGGCTAGGTAGGGAATTCGTTAGCACAACTACAAGTGTAAAAGCGGTCATATCGAAATCTGTGACTGGTCATATGAAAATGCTTTACACAATTTTATGTGATTACACCAGTATTGAGGCAGATAATTTCTGCTTTAGTGGAAAGCATACATTAGGGTGTACCCAATTACCTGATACAAATTATTGATGTAATATATAATCGATACAAACAATGTCAGACGTGAGCACACATGTTGATTGACTAGGGTAGTACACCTCGATCTAGATGATATACCTAGTCCATTGCAGATTGATACTTTTCAGAATGTGATTTTCATATGATTTTCTGCCAATTCGCTTCGCAAGATTATTCCTCTAACCACTATCAGTAGCAACAACGACAACAACAATATAAAACGATACCACCGAAAACGCGAGGCAAGAAGAAGAGAAGACTGACTGTTGACGTGGAGAGCTTTAGCTGCCTCTTATCAACAATGAAAATGATTGACAACGCTTGTACGTATATATTAAATTGAATGCGAAAGACACTAATGATATTGATTAATTAAATCAGTCAATTAAAGCAATCTACAGGATTTCAAAGATCATAAGGATGGTGAAAGAAATACAAACAGACATGTAAAAGCACATGTGAAAAATCGGATCTATATATCACGTTTAATTGAATTTTTTAGGTTTTCCCGTCAATTGATTGGACCGAAGTGCTCGGTCTCAGGGTTGACACATCGGCTTCTTGTGCAGATGCTTCGACGATGTCTGGGGATGTAATTAGACGTTAATTTGGTGGATGGTGGCTAGCAGTGGAATCGATGATGCACATTTCGTCCTATTTGGGACGCGTCATCTGAATGTATCTGCATTCTCGTGGCCCAAGTGGTCTAGTGGATGACGCTTTAGCGTTCGAAACTATGGGCACTGGGTTCGAGCCTCGGTAGGAACATCATCACTCCAACTGACGAGTTCTAAATAGGACGAAATGCTCATCCTGGATTCTACTGCTAGCCACCATCCACCATTTTGACCTCTTATATATCATCTTCCCAAAATTTAAATCTGAATTCCACCGTATATCACTGTATTATAAAGTACTAATAAAGACTGAGGTTATTATTATGATTCCCTTGGGTTTCAAGTGGAACACAGGACTTCAACAACATATCGCCACCTTGTCCTATCGTTTGCTGTCATCTTGAAGGGTGTCTACGATTGCCCATTATCTCTTGTCTCCTCTCCGCATGATCTCCTCCAAGTCATCCTCAGTGTGGCAACTCACTCATCGCTTCCTTTTGGGATTCCGCTCGAGAGCCTGGTGTGCGATGCCATTCAACGGCTTCATTGCGTGTCCGATGCATCTCCATTTACTATATTTTTGTTGAACAACTGACTCTTCGTTGGTTTGTTCCCAGCCAGAGTTTCTTGTTGCTAATTCTTTCTGGCCAACAGGCCATTTGATCTTCAATATGGAGTTAGCGAAGACAGCTGTTGATAAAAGTCTGCAATGATCTGTTGGAAATGCTTTTTGTGACGCATCCGCAGTGCAAGTTTCTGACTCATATAGAAGAACTGACTTCACTTTTGTGCTGGAAATCCGAATCTTGTTGTTTATGCTGAGGCGGAGTGCAAAAGATTTCCATACTCATATGAGATGGATGTCTTTCCGGTCCTAGTTGGCTTTGACCTCTTTATCCGTGCCGATTGCCTGTGGTTGAAACCGTGCTTCCTAGATAAGTGAAGGAAATAACCTCAGTTGAATCCCCCTCGTTGATAGTGGTTGGTGCTGTTTGTTATTGCTGTTAGTTGGTTATCTTCATCAACTCAGTCTTCTCTATGTTCTTCACCTTGAGTCCTGTCTTCGGTAACTACCTCTTCTGCCACTGTGTAGGCTTTTGCCTATAAGTCTTCGAGTTTCCTTGAAATCGTTCTCATTATTGAATTCCCCAGCGAAATGTGATTCAATAAGGTCACTGCATACTTTCTCTAGGTTGATAAAAAGAATGAAATTTCTCACTGCTGGTTTCTTTATGGATACCGTGTAATGTGTTGTGCTCTCCTAGATGCGGATGAATAAGACAGTTAAGCATACTTCTCATTGTTGTTGTTTTTTAGCGTCCTGGAGGATAAATGTGTTGCTAAATGTGTAATCAGAATATTGCTTCTTGACACACATAAACTCACTAGTGGAGGGAATAAAATTCACATTTGAAGCCGAAAATGAGCAAGGAGAATTAGCTATTTTAGATTGTAAAAGAAAACGAATAGAAGAAGGCAAACTACACACTAGTGTTTATAGAAAACCAACGCATTCTTATAGGTATTTAGACTTTAATTCATCTCATCCTTTAACTGTTAAGGCAGGCTTAGTTAAGTGTTTAACAAACCGAGTAGTAGCACTTAGTAGTACAAAAATGACCTAAATGATGAAATAAAACAGATAGAAGAGGCGTTGGTTTTAAATAACTATCCTTTAAAATTCATTAGGAAGATTGAAAAAGGAGAAAAGAAAAATAAAAAGAATTGTGACACTAGTAATAATAACACAAATAAGAGAGAATATAAGTCATCGACAGTTATACCATATAAAGAGGGGACATCTGAGACCCTACGTAGGATTCTAAATAAAGCAGGAATTAGGGTGGCATTTAAACCTACAAACTCACTCAGGGACAAACTCTGTAGGTTAAAGGACCTAGTTGACCCAATTAGACAAAATAATATAATTTACAAAATACCTTGCAATGACTGTGACTAAGGTCAACTACATAGGTCAAACTAGTAGTTCGGGGGTAGTCAGATTGTCGGAACATAGGAATTTAGTGGCTAAGGTAAGAATGGTTGACCCCGACAAGATAAGTAATTTAGAAAAAAGCTCGGCAATTGCAATGCATGCATTAACACACAACCACACAATAGGGTGGGAGAGGGTTAAAATTCTAAAAAGTAATCTAGGTAGGTGGAGAGAGAGAGAGAGTGATTACTGAATCTTTGTTCATCGAATCTATACCCAACACATGCAATAGGAATGAATCATCACTCATACCCGAAATGTGGAAAATATTACTATCAATCAAATCAAGTGAAAAACAATGGAAGTATATAAATGAATTCAGGAAGTTGTGTGATTACCTTGGTATGATTATGAGCAATAAATTGTTCTCGAAACGTCATCAGTAAACATTACTGTATAACACTGTGAAACTTTATCAAAACAAAATTAACCCATAATGGAATTACACTCTACCACAGTGCACAATTTTTATTCTTATATCAATTGTAAGAGAGATTAAACAGTTTCCTTAAAAATTCTCTCTTCTTTTCGATACTTTATGTCTTCCTCAGTATCATCAATTGGAAAATTCATCTGCATTGTATCCGTAAATGCAGATGTCTTCTCCTTGAATAATGACCCTAACTGTTTAACTATAGCCATCATTTTGGTAACAAACTTAGTAAGATCTTTCATTGTTTCTCCTGCAGTTTACATAAAGGCCACAAGAAAATCATACCTACCTGACATGGAATCAATACTAAGCATTCTATGTAATCCAACTATTCTTGCATAGAGTGCATCTGTAAGGTGAGAATGAATTCATTGCAAGGTATTTCCTCACTGAACATAATAATCACTGATATAACTAACATCTGAAGAAATATTGTTTCAGCACATTTCCACAATGTTCTTCCTCTGTTTCCTTCGAAAAGTTCCTCATGCTGAGCAGAAACTTATTTGAAATTGTTAGTGAGTACAGAATGTGTATCATTGAAACGGAGTAAACACGATGCATTTCGATGGACAGAAAATTTAGGTAGCAGGCTGCCTGTAGGTGTAGGAGGGGTAGAGGGGAAAACTAACTATTGTCTCACAATGTTATTGGATAATGGAGTTTTTAGTTTTATAATAAATTGTGAAACTAAGATTGAAATATGCAACGGCGAAGTTAAAGCATCACAGCCAAAGTCAAGGTCTTTCAAAAGTTGACCTTCGAGAACCTACCAGACATACGGAATGTTATGAAATGTCATTTCGAATCGTATTATGTCTGCCTTTTTGGGCTTGGAGAGGATAAATACGGTATTCTACTTATTTACTAGGTACTTTTCCTGTAAATCTATACTGTTAGGTAGGGTAGGTTATGGTTTTTAAGATTAAGGTTTAGGGTCTAGATGTAGGGTTAACGTTAGGAGTAGTCTCGAGAATAGTGTCAGAAAAGTCAATGGATGTCAAACTAACATGACCTACAGTCACCTGGATGAATGGGTATATTGCGCATGGTACGATTCCTGCATAGATCATCTGTGTATTGTTGACTGGGAGACATTCTTAAAATAAATAAGCTAAAACTGTACAGTGTAATATCAAGTTTGCAATATTTTTCAGTGTACTTTCCAACGATTATGCGACTTCTTTGCATCTGAATTCTTATTGGTTGTTCAAGGTCACTGTGGTTTTGGCTACGATAGATTAACTTTGCCTATGCAACTATAACATGACGTGATAATGGAATGATCATAGAGATAAAGTTTACAGTACAGACAAAGACAAAGATATTTTCAGTTATTTGGTGTCACCGGGATAGAAAACGATTCTAGTTTGGGTGGGGTTGTTGGTGGTGATCAGAATGAGACGGACTTGATAGAATTTTTCTGAACACATACATAGACTGGGTTGAAAAATGATGATGATTGGCTCAGCTATGGGAGGGGGGCTCAGCAATCGAATACGTACAAATGTAGAGTTCTGTGAAGTGATGTCTTATGAAGAATTGTAAAGGCTGAATTTCTTTCAATTTTATGCTTCAATATGGGACTCTTGATTGACCTTTATATGATTCGTTTTCCTAACCATGCTGGACAAACAACCCTGAAGATTAACAGTACTGGGATTTGTAAACATGATATTAATCAGTAACAGCAGAGGTGTTTTACGAATCAATAATTTGTATCTGACAGGACATTTCTTTCATCGTTATTTGGTAGATTTCACTCCAGAAGACACTCACGGTTTGCGGACACCTTATCACGTACGTAGTATATCGTCACTCAGCAGCATATTGTTATTATCATCATTGTGAAAATTTCGAATTCACTGTAGGATAATGACATGTTCTTTGATACGCCTCTTATTCCTTTGCGTTCCTGTCGGAACATAAGGTGGTTTCAAGTCTTAAGCTTTGTAGTTTTATTAGTAAATGTGTTGTTTTCTTATGAGGTAGGGTCGCTAGCCTCCCCTAGCTCAGGCTTACCTCTTTCCTGAGCTTACTACTGGTCAGGTTACGTTTAAGATTGTGCCCGCTGGAAATCGAACCGCGATCACATGTTGCGTGATTGTCGCCCCTCAACCACCGGCATACTACTAATCTTTTATATCATGTTAGCATAAGCTTTATCAATGTAAACAGTGGTTGATTTGGTGGTCGGTCACCTTATCTTTATTGTTGATCCAACACAACAATGGATAAGAAGATGTCACATTTGAGGATTAATCATACCATACTACATATACACCCTGGCAGTATAGTGGGGTCATAGGAGTCGGTATATAGTACTAGAGCACAACGTTTGTCCCTGTGTGTGTGTGTTTTGCGTCAACCAACTTCGGCAACAAATTTCATTTTGAGGCCACCTGTTTGATATGATGGCTGACAGTAGAATTCGGAACTGGCGTTTCGTTCCATTTGGGATTAATCAACTGGATAAGCTGGCTCCTCAATAAGTAATGGTGTCCCGACTGAGACTTTAACCAAACTAAAAACCAACGCCCAAAACGCCAAATAGTTAGTGACTATGTCACCAGAACTACCGTAGGTATAAATTTCACACTGTTCATGCATATTTTTTGATTTCGCGTCTATTGATCTTGGTCAGATATTTGGATTATGAGATATTTAGGGATTTGAATTAATTTCAATCGTTAAGTTTCGTCACGAACTAACCCATCAGTTGAAGAATCAGTAAAAGTCAGGGAGCACTGCACTAGACAGCTGTTTCGCCCTGGTCTGAGACTTCTCAAAGTGAACTGGATACTCTTCAAAGGCGTTGGTGGAAGGTAGCGCTATTTCACCAATTGACAAAGTTAGAATTCACGGATAATTCAATTCCGAATCAAGTGGCTGGATGGTTGGTGAAGAAGACTGGCCTCATAGTCTGAAGATAATGGGTTGGATCCCTGGTGGGGTTGTGGGTGTGGTTCGAGACGAAATCTGTCAGATATCTCATCAGGAATTACTTCTTCTTCTTCTTCTTGCCTTGTTCAAGTTTGTCAAATTGAAAAATAATTGTATGAAGCTACTTTGTAAGATTCCAATGTGCATATTCCCACTTACGCATTTTTTCCTGCTTCTATTCTACCAATTCACCTAGGTGTTCAGTTCATTTTTAACTGTATGGCTTGGTCGATATTTATCCAATGATAACAACAATAATGTCCCATCGAAATGGTTTCTATCATCTCATGCAACAGACAATGATATAATCTCGTCAACTGGTGATTCGAAAGTCAATTCTGAGGTCAGTTTTTATGTTGTAGTGATATTATTCCTGGTAATAACTGATCGATTGACAAGTTGTCAATGCATTGCACAGCTTTGCTTTAGGTAGTTTGCTGAGTGTGATGCACAGTGTTGAGATTTCTCTGTGTTATCATGGCTAGGATGATTGATGACCTTAAACTTGAGGAAGTAGTAGTAAGCTGTATGGATCTGTCCAATCTTGATTAAATAGCTTGCCTGCTTGTGTCTACGTGACTATTAAATACATTTAACTGAATTACAGATATAATTAAACATATGAAATGCAATTGTGCACATTGTTATTTTATCTGAAATTCTTTAGATGTGAGTGCGTGTTCCCTTTCGTCGAAAGTCATGGATGTGAAATGTTGAAATTGTGGTGAGTTCATGGATTGGCTGTACGAGTGAAGAATAAATGATGAAGAATGGCTTGAAATTATTCACACTAGTTCATGAGAGGAATACATCTTAGCGTTAACGGGGTTATAACTGAGAGATTTGTGTCCGCTGTTCAAAGCACAAGCTTATTGTTTGTTCTACTTACTCTATGTATGAATGAATAATCGACATTCGAACAATAATTAATGTTGAGGAAAATAAATAGATAACTCTCTGTCACTGTTTGCTTTAAATTTGTTTGAACTCAGTAACCCGGAACAGGTTTCATGACCGCTGATAATGCTACCCAGTTGTCCAGCAGTTAGGCTAAAGTGGTTGAAGCAATACTCGAAGTTGGGACGTATTGACTGTAAGTTGAGTGCATAAGGTTATGTACCACATTTGAACTAAACTGGGCGAGTTTTAAGAGTGTGTTGGTGGAGGATCGAAGCTCAGATCACCTGTGGCGTAGTTGAAAAGCATTCTACCACTGAGATACCAACGAGCAGGCTTTGAATTAATGTTTAGTAGTTGAAAACAGGAAGCTCTTCGATACAAAGATTTTATACTTATTGGCAATAGACATCAAAGCGTATGTACATCCCCGAAGGGACTAATGGTTGGGGATGGTATCAGGTAGCTTTCACTGTTATGTAGTTTAACAACAGTTCACTGCTTACATTTTATCCTATTCATCCTACTGCCGTTTATTGTTTATTCGTTTTTTTTCAGAAAAATTCTTCTCCTTCCAAATCACGTCATGTAACAGTATCAAATGATATCACCACATTTGATGGATCCCGAAGAGATGATACAATGAACGATATGTGTACAACAAGGACCATTTTGTGTAATCATACGAAAGCTGAATAAACATCGTTTGGGTGTAATAATATTAATCTTAAGAATAATGATAAAAATTATGAGTATGTATATATATATTTGTGTGTAAACTCATTCTAATTTTTGAAATAATAATTGAGATTTGTAGCTCAGGTGGATAATTTAGATGTAGTTGTATTCCCTCAGCTGAATAGGGGTGTGATTGCGGAAGTGCAATTCAATGGAGACATTGCTAGTGTAATCCTACATCTAAGATTATCTAGAGCCATGTAACGGACTTATACTGCTTCCACCCTCTTGTTTGTCATTTTCCAATCGACGAATTATAACTGTGCTCGAGAGGAAGATAAGTTATCTAGCTATACCACTTCTGTATGCATTTACAGATTTAGCTGATCCTGTGGAGTAGTAAGCTACACATAAGGCGAACAACTAGACAGCTTAAAAAGTGCACTACTCTGAGCATGTTGCTCTTCATGATTTAGAAAAAGCCAAACAAAATTCATAAGAAGCTGTATTTTGCCTTATTCGGTTGTGATAGCAATCACCAAGAGTTGTCTGTCGCATCCCATGGGAGTTTTTTCCTCGACCTTATATGTCTAGCTGATGAAACATAGACTAGCACTTATTTTGACACAAAAATGACTCTAAAAATGGTCTACATTACACTTTGCTATACTGTTGTGTGCCATCTTATCGGGTTTTTTTCCATTTGGTTTTGGTTTAGGTAAACAGAATGTGAAACGGTTGCCGTCTCCGTCGAACGCTGTCTAGTTGATATTGTCTCCGATCATACCTCAATCAACTGACATCCAACACATTTCTCCCCCCCCCCTCTGTCGTATCTTAACGCTTATTCTTAATTTTACAAAACAATGTGCTTTATTTACTGTTGTATTTTATTGATCGCTTCCATACCCTTTACACTTTCCTCCCTTCTATTAATGACAGATACACAAAAACACACATTTAATAATTGAGAACTGTTAATTCTCTGTCTTTGCTTTATATCCAAGAGTGAATGTTCGTCAATGTACTGTATGTATACACCAGATGTTTGTACATGTGTATTGAAGCGAGATCGCGCACTCACTCAATCACTCACAGCCGCATACACAGAAGCTGCCGAAATATGTTCACTTGTACACTACTACTATCGCTTAATGCTTTTACTCTGTTTTATGCCTTCCTGATTTATTCAAATATATATATATTTTCTGTATAGGTGCGCGAATGTTCTCATCATTCATAAACCTAATATTCTGTGTAAATTATTCTTTGACCCAGGAACCCCCCACCCCACACCTACACATACACACACACCCTCAAGCCTTTGATTGCATAACCCGACAATAACCTTAAGCATTTGAAAAACCGCCCTTCCTTAACCTTTTGAAGAAATGAATACTTTTTTATTTAATGTGTCACCTGGAATGCTTTTACTCTTCGCTTTGTTTTCTTGCAGAAAAGAAGCAAAGTAGAGATCAACATTATTCCACAAATGTAAAACACAAGTGTATTCATTTGTTATAATAGCAATAATACATAATCTAAATGCTTCTTTATTGTTTATTTGTTCGTTTATCTTGTGGTAACATTCCCATTTGAATTTTCAGCTTTCTCTTCGTTGAACAGTTCACAATCGATCAACCATAATGAATTATGAAATATTGTTGGAGTAGATAATTGGAGTATATGCTCGTGGCGTATTAAACCTAGGTTTCGTGGTTGTTGGCACTCACCAGTCAACGAAACGTTTCTGCTATCGTGAAGGAACTCATGTCCCTCCCTCCTCCTCCCGAGATTCCAATCCACCCAGTGCTGTAGTCAGAGAGAGAGAGATTACCATTGGGCTATTCAGGCTCCCAATTGACATCCTATACGACATGAGTTCCTTCAAGATTGCAGATACGCCCTACTGACGAGTTTCAGAGAACACAAAACATAGGTTCGGCGCTTCTTACCCACTGCCTCCGACCACCTAATGACAGCGATTCAGAGTGCACCCATCATAGATAGCATGGTGACCACAACGCAATCATGACTGAAAGAATTCAGTCTGAAAAGTGTGCAGTACGATAAGTTATTGACAACAACAGTAGATTGTGAACTAAGCGCAACAAGATCAGATCACATTGTGTCGTCCACTCAACTTCCTAAATGACAGTCTAAAAACTGAAAAATAAGCAATACAACATGATGGTATGCAGTACTGATTAATTGACGCGAGCAACTGAAACCCATCACGTACATCATCCAGTAGAGCTGGTTAGCCAGACATCGAGGTGATCAAACATCTGTTGGTGGTTTCGCTCGCCTAGAAATGATCTCATCATCGACGTATTTTGTGTTCACTCGGGTCAGAGAGCCATATCAACTGAAGCAGGCACCTGTAAGTATCTAAGTCGTATCTTCAATGGCATACAAGGTCAACAATTAGTTGGCAATTTTCTATGTGAGATCACTCTTCTTTTTAACTCAGTATATTATTGTCTTGATCATATTTATCCTTCTTGTGACTGATACTTCTTCAATGTTTGACAACTATTCACATATTGTGAGAGCACAGAAGACAATGATTTATTTCACCATGGCAACGGTAATATCACTAGAATATTGCAGCCATTTAAGTGTAGTTATTTCAGATATCGAATAAATTACGAGCTAACAATATAAAAAGTGTTTCGACTTGTTGACATGAACCAATCAATAAAATTCCAGTGACGTGAGCCTCAGTCTATATAAGGGTGAAGTGCGTGAGCTACAGGTTGTGTGAACAGTGAACCATAATGTATCTCCTCTTTTGCTACCTAGTGCGTCTCCTTTCTGTAATACGTCTTCAGTTGGGAAGACCGCTTGACTAGTTGTCGAACAGTTATCTGAGACCTTCAACCTTGCACACCCTGGGACAGACCACTTTCACTGGTAGCTTAACAGCTTCTGCACACTTCCTGCAACTCTATGGAACACAGGTCGGGTTGTCTGCACATCCGTCAATGGGTGTTTCAGGAGGTGTGCATACTTGTGAACAGCATGAATGTGAGGGTATTTCGAGGAGGGATAGATTGTTGACACTGTCAATACCTAAATGTGGAGATGATGACGATTAGTAAGACAGCGTAATTCTTTAATGTTCTTTCAGATGGATTTAACGTCACAAGTAGTTTCATCAAGTAGTTTTAAAATACCTCCAGAAGCATTTTAAATCAAATACTACATCCCTATTTCAACGACACACGCTGTTCTCATCAATTCAACATTACAGTTTAGATTACTTCAAAAAGATAATCACCCAAATAATAACCAACACACCCACACACACGTAGTTCATATCAAAACAACAGACTGAAATTGTCACAATTGACCATGGAAACCTGTATTAGCGTCATTCCACTTCACTCATCCAAAAGGAATTCAAACCAATTAAGAAGATGTAGACCACATCCAAATTAGAATACAACCGTCGTTCCTCCTTGTTAGGCAGTTCCATCTTCCACATTACATTACACGTGGGATGACGGGTGCACTTTAACCCATTTCTATACTCACCATGTACCAATTTGTGAAACTTCAAATCAATCAAATCTCTACAAACTAACACTTGAAAATTAATCTGGTGTTCACTATTGACTGACTACCGACCTGGATTCGTTACCATAGTTGTCTGACAGCTCACATTCTGTAAAGTATCAATCTGCAATGGACTAGGTATATCGTCTAGATCGAGGTGTACTACCCTAGTCAACATGTGTACCCACGTGTGACATTGTTTGTATCGATTATATCAGATCAATAATTTGTATCAGGTAATTGGGTACACCCTAATGTATGCTTTCCAATAAAGCAGAAATTATCTGCCTTAATACTGGTGTGATCACATAAAATTGTGTAAAGCATTTTCATATGACCAGTCACAGATTTCGATGTGACCGGTAACACACTTGCAGTTGTGTTAACGAATTTCCTACCTAGTCGATTCGCGAGCTTATTCTTCTAACCGCTATTAGCAACAACAACATGAAGAGATAATACCGAAAACGCGAGTCAGGAAGACAGTAAGAGAAGACTGACTGTTAACGCGGGGAGCTTATACTGTCTCGTATTAACAGTGAAAATTATATACATATATATATGCTTTAAAATAACTATGAGAGATACTAATGACATTGATTAATTATAACCGTCAGCAACCAATAGGATTTCAAAGGTCATAATTTGGATGAGAGAAATACAAACAGACATGTAAAAGTACATTTAGAAAGTTAGGTCTACATATTACATTTCCAAACATTTATCTGGATTACACCATACATCCATTTTTTTTCAGGAGTTGATTGGTAGTAATTTGATTTGGTTTTCGAGTTTTACCACA